AAAAGGACAGTGCCAAGGTGCATTTTATCATTCCCATCTTTTCCGCTAAAACTAGTCCAAATTCAGTAGTGACTCACACCCCTGCCACACTGACGTCAGTGGAGAATTTGGCTTATTATGTGTAATAACTAGGCTTCAAACTGAAATCTGCTATCTCTTGAAAGGTGTTTTCACATGGGTGCTCTGGTAATTGTGGGTTGGTTTATGACTTGTACAAGTTAGATTTCTGTTTGAGCATAAAAAGACCAGTGAATCACAAATGTTGCAAAGACATGTAAGAAGAGAAAGTAAGTCAATTTGGCCCACCTTTTTTGACCCTCATATTGTGTCTGCAGATGTTAACATTGTACACAGAACCTGTGTACAGGATTTGAGAACAAACACTATCTATCATTCTCTGCACAGCAGTTTCCTGTCAGCCACAGAGGACTGTAGGCGCCTGATCTGCCTCCTTCAGAGTGGAGATGCAGAGCATGTATTTCAAATCTATGTGCTTCATATTATTTTTTCTGAGGTAATACAGAGGACACAAAGGATCTCCCCCCTAATAAGCACAATGCTCACACCTTTGGAAACATGTTCTTTTTGTGCAGTGGACTCAGAGAGCAAGAACCACAGAACTCAAAGTCAGCAGGGGGTAGATTCTTCAGGGGCTGGATCCTGCTTCACCCCACTCTACTTGCAGCAAATGTGCCCCGCAAAGACTCTCCACTCCATCTAACTTCAAAATTCTTACAAGTGTAGTTGTTAGAAACTGGTCTAGCAATAGCCAACCCAGTCCTGCAGAGCTTACCTTTAGCCATGATCAAGGATACTGTGTAGGTGGCATCAGTGTAGGTACTGGACACAACAGAACTGTAGTTATTTGTATCATCTCAGGAGAAGCATTCTGACTGGAAAGAAAAAAAAAAAACACAGAGAAAGCAATAAGCAAAACCTCCAAGTAGGTTGGAGTGGTAGGGAATGGATATGTCAAAGGTATTAGTGAATTCCTCTTTTTATTTGTGTTTACATTAGTGGTTTTTTAATCACTAACAAAACCAACCTGTTGAAAATCCAGAATCTCTGAGAGCAGAAATTCTGGGACCAAATCCAATTCTCCCTCCTCTCCAAAGATCCTTGAGAGCCTTCCCAAAGCCCCAGAAACAGAGAGAAGTCTTCCCATTGATAGTGATGAGTTTTGGATCAGGTACCTTCTTGGCCTAAGGCAGCAAAAGGAAGCCACCCCTCTTCTCAGAGACATGCCTTTATTCTGATGCTCTGCACTGGAAGGGAGTATTCCCCCTGCACTGCAAAAGGAATGCAGAGACCAGAGGAGAGTGAATGGAAACTGTTGGACTTAGAAGTCTAGACTACTGAAGGGAAAGACAGTTTGATCTGCCCTAGCTGGCAGATTTGTAAACAAAGGACTGGCTGAGAGAAGAGGTGAATTAGGGTGAAATAAGGAAAGAGGAGAAAAAGGGACAGAGAAAGGGAAGAAGAAGAACAGAAGAAGGACAGAATTTTTTCAGCAACGGGTCAACACAAATTAAACAGGGCTGAACTGGGACATGTGCCCTGAATAATATTGTGAATTACGAAGATTTAGCATTGGTTTTGCCTGAATGGCACTTCAAGGAAGGACACTGACCTGCTGGAGTGAGTCCAGAGGAGGGCCACTAAATTGATGAGAGGGATGGAGCACCCCTCCTATGAGGAAAGGCTGAGAGAACTGGAATTATTCAGCCCGGGAAAGACACGGCTTCAGGGTGACCGAATCGCAGCCTTCCAATATCTGAAAAGAACTCACAGGAAAGATGGAGGGAGACTATTTACAAGGGCATGTAATGACAGGACAAGGGGCAATGGCTTCAAACTGAGAGTAGATTTAGATCAGGTATTAGGAAATAATTCTTTACTCTGAGGATGGTGAGGCACTGGAACAGGTTGCCCAGAGAAGTTGTGGCTGCCCCATCCCTGGAAGTGTTACGGCCACATTGGATGGGGCTCTGAGCACTCTGGTCTAGTGAAAGGTGTTTCTGCCCACAGCAGGGGGGGAATTAAATGATTTTCAATGTCCCTTCCAACCCAAACCATTCTAAGACTCTATAACACATAAGCTGCATTAGGGCCTCACTATGCTCAGTGCAAAACTAAGTACCAAAAATAATGGTTCCTGTTCTGATGCTCTTTTTCTGTTGATCAGAAACACCACCCTATACACACACAGCAGTGGCACTTCTGCAGTGGGCTGACTGTTAAAAGGGATCTTTTTATTTTTGCTGAGGAGTACTATAGTGCCTAAATTTTTCTTTTTCTATGGTTTTTAGTGTGGGAATAAAAAAATAATGAGCTAATGACACATGCTTCTTAAAAATGCTGTCAAAAACATTCTGGATCCTTCTTCTATTGGTACCCACTCTCCCTACTCCATATTACATTAGGGTTTGGTTTACTTTTAGCTTTAGCTCAGAATATTGCTTTGTCTCCTAAAATTGAAGAAGAAACATTAGAATTTATGAATGAACGAGGGAAATGGAACAGGGGCCTGTTACCTACTTTCTCTGTTTGAGTTTATTTTAAATCATGTTTTCCTTTCCTATCTGCTTTATAGAAGAGATTAGATTAACTTGCTTTATTTTACTTACTGTACTTCTTACAACTTCACATCCATCATAAAGACCACTCTGGAATGAAATTTTTTCATTAGCTGCTCTCTGCACACTGACAGGAATGATTTGTGACTTTTTCTGATAATATACCACAAAAAATGAAGACTCATATGATCCTTCTGTCACTTTAGACAGTCACAGATCTGTCATATGGGAGAGATTATACATGATGGAAAGGCTTATTTACTTATGCATTAAAGGTCACATTCTTCCAGCCCCAGTCAAATAATTCGATCAGGAGTTCTGCATAAATAAGAACTGCTGTATTTAAATCAATAAGGACAAGTTTCCAGCAGCTAAAACGAACAGCAGCATTCCTACTGATCTGACTGATCCATGAAAAATCTCTAAAACCAGTGAGGATGGGGATAGGTAACTGCAGTTTGCACCTGGTTCTGTCTACCACTCTTCTGTTACACAGGATGACAGACTGTATTTCCTTGCATAAGATGAGTGAATATATCTATGAGCACCTGAAAGTACAGTCAGTTATTGGCATGTACTAGCTAAAGGTCTTTCACCAGATATAATTGTTATTCACCCTTAAGTGTTGTCAATGGACAAGGTTTTCCCACAAATTCAGGAATGCTTTCTCCAGCAAGGATCTCAAAGGAGTACGTCAGCATGCTGAAAGACTCCAAAAAGGTAAAAGACTTCCTAGAAACAACTTCTTTGGTTGGGAAAAAATTATGTTACTTAAGCAGAACAGTGAGGCACTGTTTGCAGGATTTATTTACCAGGAGTGGGAAAGAGTGGATACGATAAGAAGTCCCAAAACATAAAGTTATACAAAGAATTGCTCGCCACCTAAAACTCTTGGGAGAGAAAGCTTTGTGCAGCAGGAATAGCGTCTGTAGGAGGCTGCTGATCACTTCCCTGCTTTTTTCCCCTGACTTTCTGCAGGGTTTTGGGCAAGTAACTCGCTCTCCCTGTATCTATCTTGTCATCTACACAATGAGAAAATTGGGCTGCCTTGCTGCGCAGGAGTGCTGCAAGGTGCTTTGATGTTAGATGTCATTCAAGAAAGGCATCAAAAGTGGATGTATCCTAAGTCCTATTAGAACTTACTCTGTTCTGCACAAGCTGCACTGAGCCCTTCAGTGCTGCTCATGTCCTGTGTTAGACAAATGCCTGTAGTTTAGGACAAATCCTCCTGCATGAAACTGTTTCATTTCAGGAGGCTTCCAAGAGCTACATTTTTCTATCAGAATGAATCCATTTAGTTTGTGTTTACATTAACTAGTTCTTAAGTTCAGGTAAAGCTATTTTTTTTCCAATCAGACTGACCAGCAAGAAGCTGGCCCTGAATACACTCTGTTGGGGAGGAACCACTCACTGTATAAGAAAAATTACCCATAATAGTAAGCAATGAGCTTTGTAAGCTTCCTCAGATCACAAGATTTCCTGTTTCTTGATGAGACTGGAACCAAATTCCAGAGCGTGAAAGGTTGCATTTGAAGGATGTGACATTGTTACTGCTTGTCACCAAGACTCAACTTGTACATACCTCGACTGCGTGCAAGAAAAAACCCAAAATGATAATGTAGGCAGGCCTCTGGTCTCAGGAACACGAGTCAAGCCATGGACACTCTGCAGAGAGATTACCTTCACTCATCACATAACAGTGTGGCTATCATGCTATTCACAGGGCTGTAACATCAACATTAACAGCATCGGCAGACATTTACCAGGAGAAACAAATCTCAAGAAAAGACCTGTCAATACCACTGATGTACACACAGCAAAGAAATGGTACAAGCAAGTCATAATTTTAGTTTTAGTTACGGAAGACAGAGTTGAACAAGCTTGATTAACTCTTTTGTAGGTAACTGAGTCTTCCCTCCACCATAGTTGTCACAGCCCCTTTACTCCTGGTTTTAAGTGCCTCAAGGAGCTATACTTCAGAGTGGTACTTTACAAGCTTCCTTTCTTGGAAAAGGGAAGGAAAGGAAAAGTGAAGCATATATGAGTCTAAAGGTATTGAACTCACACAGCCAATTCCCACCCTGTCTGCCCACAGCCAGAGAACACAAAGTATTACAACATTTTTGAGAATATCTGTTTATGTAAATTTTACCTTTTTATCCCAGCTGCTAAGTTCCTCATCATTCATCCTCAGGGAAAGGAGCTTTCAAGACCATTACTGACACTTCTTGTATCCCTCAGCTCACATGAAGTCCTGTAGATTGTTGCATTCCTAGAAAGATGCCTGGATCCCTTTACACTGGACAAATATGGCTTTGAGTAGTTCAAAATTTAAATACATACTGGCCTCTTGTGGGCTATATTGTTACATCCTTTACAACTCTCAGCAGTTTCTCAGCTTTAGAATAACAGGACAATAAAACTTCGAGCATGAGGCTAAAAGGAACAAACCTTCTGTAAGTCAAAGGGATACCTTTTTATTTAGAAATACACATCATCTCCTAGGTTTTCTTGTGACTGATTTTGACACCTTTTCAAAACTTTGTTCAAAGGTAGACTATTAAACAACTTACCAGTCTTGTTTTTCTTATTACAAATAAAACATGTAGGTCCAGGTTTCAAACAGTTAAACATTCAAGAAATCCTGCTGTAGTGTTTAAGTCATTCCCCAGTGCTCCTTTTGCACCTCCAGGCTTGGGCTTTGTTTATTTTATGGCTGTACATGCAGCAATTTCTATCATTTCCAAGTCCAGCCAGTTCATTCAGTTACTGAAGCAGAGATTATGTGTTTTAGAAAATCTGTTCACAGCTTTAGATTACAGAGGTAATTTTTTAATTGGTTCTCTTCCATTCCTTAATAAACCTGAGATTCTGTCACCCTTCTTCCTAAGGAGGACTTCATTTCCAATGAGCAAGGTACTTTTTCCAGGAGGGAATGAATTACAAATCTCAACTTTTGTATTTAGCTCTTTCACTTTACTAGTGTTAATCACAGTGCAGGTACAGAAGATTGTTTTATGTGTGCACAGGCCTATCCATTCTGAAGGACACAAACCACATATCTTGTTTGCCACAAAGGCTTAAAAAAATATAGTAGCAATAAACTGCTTAACTGCCCACATTTGATTTCTTTTTGGAGCAAAATGCTGTTATCTATTCCATATTTATGTTAAATTCATTTGAAAAGGGAGTCTAATGCAGCAGGCTATGCTTTGCAAAACACAGGAACTGAGAAAACCAAAGAACATAAAAATCTAGCCAACTTCCACAAGCTGATGGGAATGATTATAGGGGTAAACTCTGGAAAAAGAAATGGCCAACCCACCCTTCCACCCCCTCCAAGAATTTACCACCTTTTCTTGACGATTTTAAGGTGATTTCTGCTAGTCTACAAAAGAAAGAGGAAGGTGAAAAGTTTCACAAAAATCAAGGAAAAACATCCAGAGGTTGAAACATTGTCAACTTTTCCAGCGAGCAAAAAATACCACATACAGACAGCCAAAATAAACACATGCTGTAGTTCACAGGCTAAAGAAGGAATCCAGCAAGACAGACACTCTGCTCCCTTGCCTAGAAGCTTGTGTTCTTATTAACACAGATCAAATCAGAAGTGCGTGGAAATGGAATTGGTCATGTTGTAAAGCAGATAAGGTATTATTAATTACTTGTTTAATAAATGTATCAAGAAACCAACCTCCACTTACCTTTTCAGTATTCTAATTCAGCCAAAAGAGCCCGACTTCGATACAGAGAAACCTAGCATGTTGGCTGGAAGTTGTATTTTTCCCAACAAAAACAAACCACTGCCAACCCAATCCAACTCCTCCCACCTATTCAAACGGACTCAAAAACCAGGCACTGCCCTTCTGTGTTCACTTCAGAGTTCTCGTGAATCCTCCTTCGTGCATCTGTTCTTACATGAGCTACCACGGCACACTGAGCAGTGTCTGCAAATGCACACACTCCTCTGTGGGGGAAAACCAATGCACGTGCATGAGAAGATCTCAGTTTTAGCCACACAGCCACACACTGGCCTCCAAAAGGGGAGGAGTGACTCTGAATGATCTCTTCATTAGCGTTGCTTGAGTGTTTGCTTTCTGTATTACTCACAACAGCCAAAAGACCAAGAAGGCCAGAGTGGATGTAGTAAAACTAAGTGTACCTGGTTTTCTGTCTTTTGAGATAGAAGGAGTCAAAACTAATTTACAAGAGGAAGTTTCTGTTGTATTTTATTAGTTTTGACTTTGTTCCTGACTATCTTCTTTGTGCCCACTTCAGAGGCAAACAAGTTACCAAGCAAAGGAGAAAGAGCAAAAGGATCTATGCAGGATTTTTCCCCTCTGATCCCTGGAGAGAAGTATTGCCTTTGCCTTTTCAGAGGAAAGCAGACACCTTTCAGCTGCTATTGGGACTAGGGAGTTAAGGTCAGACATAATAAGAAAACTTTGACTCAGTCAAATGCTACTGTTTCTCAAACAAGAAACTCCTTTAGCAAGGTGCACATAACTGCAGACTTCTGTCCCCAAAATTCTGGGATGAAAAGGTAAGCAGAACAAGCTGAGCCCTCTGAAGGCAGTCTAGCAAGACAAGGCTCTCTCCAAGGGAAGGGATGATTTCTGGAAAACACTGGCTATCAACATATTGGATTAAAACTAGTGCAATACAGCAGCTCATTTAATTCTATTTTAAGCCGAAGCAGCAACAGGCAGATAAGAGATAAAGCAGCAGTAGGGAACACTGAAGTTGAGTAGCACAGTCCAGCAGAGAGAAAGGGTCAGGAATTGCAATACCTGAGTCCTCTGCCAGCCTGTTTAAGCTTTATCTTCTCAAATGCACTGAGCCATATTGCCAGCTCTGGTGCCAACACGGTTTTTAATTCTGAGTAAATAATTCAGTCTTTCTCTTCATTCAGCTTTGCTATCAACTGAGTAAACCTGACACTGCTGCCCTGCTGGGGATTACATGGCACACACAAGCTTGGGCAGGTCTAATCGTAACCCCTTCTGTGACTTCCCCACCAGGCCAAGAGAATGTAGCATCTGCTGTGTTCAGGTGCTGGAGCCTGATCTGTATCAGTGCTCAAAGGAGAGTGGACTTTTTTCTTTCCTTGCATGTAACCAAAGGAATTAACCTCTTTGAATATGTGACATTCACTTTGAGACACTCGAAATTAACACTTGGGTTGCTTAGAGCATGCAGTTCTTTGACTGCCTGTACCTTATGCACAAAAGGAGCATTTTTTTTCCTTGCAGGACTCCTGAGCTGCCCAATATTATCCTAAGTTGACAATCACTCTTGCAGACACCAGCAAATGTACATCTACAGACTTGGCAGAAGAAACAAGGTTATTCCCCACATATCTCAAAAAAGTGCTTTGTTTTTTCTCTATAACAAGTCTATACACATACTTCATGTCAAAAATAGAGTGACATGGTTATGATTAACAAATTGTAGATTTATCATAGCCCTTTGTTTAAACTATCTTCCAGGGAAAGAGCACATGAAAACAGGATAGTTCAGGTCCACTTCTAAAACCTGCCAACTCACAACCAACAGACATACCCTTTCTAAGGCCACCTATGTGCAAGCTGCATGATTTCTCCACTGAAGAGACTGCAGGGAAGTGACAGGAACCAAGGTCCAGTTTAGTGATGTCTTCATTCTCAAGCTCATTTTGCAACTGTAAATTCACAGGTTAAAATTTTCCAAAATAGATTAATTATAGAGGAAAAGTCCAGAATAAACAGATACTTTTGAAAATCTTGCAAGGAATGCAGTTCTCTACCCTACGTGACTGCTGGGCAGTTGACATTTCAGAATAATTTGACCAAGTCATCTTTATCTTGATCCTTCAGAGAGTGAAATGTGCTTTATCTGGGAACAGCTCTTATGCTCAAGTGCATCTAAGTTTTTGTTTTTACATAACTCTGGTATCTGCTGATCCCAGACTACCTACAAAAGGACGGAATGTGCCATTAGTCTGTTACCATGACAGAAGTATAAACAGGATAATAAAACTGTGTATAAACAGGATAATAAACGCGTGATGACCAATGACCAAATGACCAGCGAGAAAGCAGGGCATTGAGCTGGGGTCTGCCCTGTTCACAAAGTGTGGAAAAGCCTATGAAACAGAAGACATCACAGTTGGTTCTAAAAAAAACCATCTCATGTTTGTTATGTGCTTACCCATCTGCAGAGAGGAATTCAGTTCTCTGGGAAACAACTGTGTTGTAGGTATTAGTGCTGTAGCCTTCAGTTCACAGAGGCCTGGACAGTGAGCTGGAGAGGGTGGATGAAGTATGCTTGGAATTTTCATTTAACAAAGAGTGCCCAGTAAAAAGACAAGTCTAGCAAGACACACAGCTTAGCTTAGTTCCTATTGTCAGCCCGGTTTCAAACACACTGATTACAGAAGCAGCAGCCCCACTCATCTCAAGTGCTTGTGCACGGCCAGAGCTCCTTTCTGCTAATCTTAAGCACTTCTTAAGGCTACCTCTGCTGTCAGAAGAGATCAGAATAGCTGATAAAAGGTCCTTCAGACCTCAAATTTTATTTAAAAAAGAGTAAAGAAAAAAAAGAGACAGAAATATGTTAATTATGGCAAGGCCAAAGAGCAAATAGGAGGATTAGTTCCAAATCTGTTAGATAAAATAACGTTTCAAGAGGCATTTGAATATTTTGATCCTGACCAAGTGGTAGGTATGCTCTTGCCTGGTATGAGATGGCAGCGGTGCAGCCCTCATAACCAGACTCTGCAACTGGGCTGACACGGGCTTTGTAGCACTGAACTGATGCAAAACAGCCTGATTTTATCAATGAACACTCTCTCAGAGCATTCCACGCATGCAGAGTAGGAGTGGACAAGCAGGCTGGATTTCCTCCATCAGTATAAATTGTTCACTTCTACTCAAGTCAGTGAAGCACTGCCAACTAACACCTGCTGAGGATCTGCACAAGGACCTCAAGGTCAGAATCTTAGAGCCCTTTATACCTTATTTGCCACAAAGCTGTTCTCCTCTAGAAAGTCTCCTTGTGCAGGAGGCAACTTACACATTGAACTTAGCTCCTATATGCACACTCCTATAAATCATCAACAAATATTCTTTAGCAGATGCACGGGAAGCTGATGACAGAGCAAGTAATTTTATTCATTGAGCCAGTTTTGACACTGAAGGGCACCGAAAGCTGAAAACATTTATAAGGAGTTCCACTTACAACGTTATTTAGAACATCAGTGGTGATTTTGTTATTTCTAAGGAGTGTTTAGATGGAATAGTTTTACCCCTTTGAAAAAACGAGTACCTGTGGGAGAATATAGCTATCAAGATTTACATAAAACTAACAGTCATGTTATGCTCAAAAGCTTAAGTTTATTGCTCTATTTAATGACTACCACCAGTATTTTAAAAAAGAATGCCAGTTCTTCCTGCTAGCTTCTCACTGAAGGAAATATTTTAAATACAGCAATAAAATCAAGAGGTTTAAAGATAACACATTTTGCCACACATTCATGCAAACCCTGCAGACAGGATTTTTACAGGTTCAGGGATACAGAATAAACACAAAGATGTGTACTGAAATAATGGGAAACTTTCCCCACAGTGAAGAAGTTGTAGGCATAACATTTCAGGTCCTACCCTGCACCTACTGGCGTCAATGGCAAAACATCATTGGGAGCAGGATCAGTCCTTATTGTTCTGAGAGCTGCTTTACCTGCTCCTGATTAGCAAGTGCAGTAAATTCGCAGAATCTCCTGCACTAACATAAGCAGTGGGTGTTGGTTATTGTTACAAATAAAGTGAAGCAAAAATATTTTTAGTAGGTCATTACAGCTTCTATTCACAAAACACTCATCTTTCATGTCAAGGATCCTGCATACCTCCATTTTTCTCTGCTCAGTGAAGCACTTAAACATGTGGTTATCTGTAAGCATTAAACACAAAATACGGTCTTCACAGTCTGACTGAGTTCTGAAACGAAAAACATGGGCAGCAGGCTGTAATACTTAAAAGCAAACACTAGTGGTTAGAATGGGCTAATGATTATCTAAATTTGGGTTGAGGGCAAATTTATCAAAAAGCAGCCAACAAGTTCAGACTGATTTTTTTTTTTTTAAGCTGCCTATAGAATTCATATTAATTTTAATAAGCATTGGGCACCCGGTCACCTTTAAAGCTTTGAAATGAGTTTAAATTCACAGATTACAAGTGATTTTATTAATAGATTTTTAATAAATATGAACTCACAAAATTCCTCACCCAATTTCGAATCTCAGATTTCAGAGGAAATTGTATTCAGGTTGTGGTCTGGCTGCTTAAAAATAGAAACTATTTGCAAGTTTGCCAGATGACTGAAATGCCAAAATATTGACAAAGAAAAGGTAAAACGTGAAGGATTTATGTTTGGATCTGTTTCTACTATTTGTCTCATACTCAGCCAGCTTTCATGGTACTGGGCTACACTGCTGGTAAGAATTCAAGGTAAGAATTTGAGGCAAGGATTTGACTCACATAATTGAAATATTTTTCCCCCTTTAGTTCTGTTAACACTGGTGGTGGACTGCTTTAGAAAAAATAAACAAGCAAACGTGATGTGTGAAACATCATTTCAATGTGAATCTACTTGAATCTTTCAATGCAGAGGCTCAGAAAGTTTACGATATACACAGTATTCGGTAATTTTATATGTAAAAACAATCAGAAAGAGGCAAAAAGTTACTTTCAAGCGTAGTCAACATACGGCACATTGCAGCATGACAATTCAAAAAGTTTCACACTGTATTTGGATATATTAGCAATGATCTTTTAAAAAGTAGCAAACTGAAGAGAGTGGATTTTTTTCTGATTTTTTTTCTTGCTTTTGTAACAAATGAAGCTACTATTCCTATTTACAGTATAAATAAGCCTTTTTTGGTGAAGATAATGTCCTGTCACGTATGTTTAAGACAAGGTGTACCTCAGCTCTTAAATGTCAATGCAAACAAGAGCATAAAAGCAATATCAAAGTAAAATAATATAGCTTTCCAGCTAAGACAGCCAGGTTACCATGTGTCTCTTATCAGATCTGAAATATATCTGAATGCAGTCAAAAGTTCTCTTGGCTTTAGCCTTTAGGAATATAATGGACATTTATTCTTCTGCTGTTCTAGAAAGCTGTTTTCCGTACAAGCTCATGACATGATGGACAAATTGATACTGTTCACAAGTCTGGATCATTCCTCCCCTGAAAAGGAAAGAAAAAAAGGGGAGGGAAATAGCAGTCTTATTACATGCAAGCACACGAGGAAACAGCACAGCTAACATGCAGCATGTGCTACAAACCAAAGGTCTATTCCAAAGCATCCTGAAATGAGTGAGAAATGTCCCTTGATTGCAACCAGCTTGCAGTCTGACTTTGAGCTCCATTTTAAAAGTCCCTGTTGAGCAAGGAACAGAAGGCCGTGAGAACAGGAATGGGCTTTATGTTCATTTTCCTTGTCAGAGGAAACACCATCGTCATTTATATTCACATTACCTGAGCACTTGTACTCCAAGAACCACTTTAAACACCATGAAAAGCAATCCCCACCCTAAAGCTCTAGAGAGAGAGATGGGAGCAGGGGAAATAAAGAGGGGAAGTAGCTTATCCAAGACTTCACAGCTGCACTAGGGACTGAATTTGGGACTGTAGAGAGCTAGGCCAGGCCAGCCCAGCCCAGACAACTGATGCGAATTTCTCATTCTGCAATGAGGATTCTTTCCTCTGTGCCATCTCACATCATGATTTTGGCAAGTTCACCAGGGAGCTCTAGGGATGACTAGCAGGATTTTGGAACAGACAATGTAGCTTTTGAAAAGTTACTCAGATTTGTAGCTGAGTTGACTATTGTGCACATCTTGACAGTAAAAGACTCCCAGCAGAGTAATCTATTTTGGTTCAGCTTGTTTTTCAGCTTTTGCTGTTCTCTTTAAAACTACAAACCTGAAGGGAAGTGCAAGCAGGAGCAAAAACAGTTTGATTTTCCACATATCATTAACCTGTGTGTTTCTGCAAGTGGCATATTAAGCAATACATGGGTACTACAAGAGGAGAAAGAAATAAACAAAAAAAAAAATCAGGATGAAGTTGCTAATTTTAAGCAAATTTTACAAATATTTAGAATTCTGCCAAGAATACCTCATCAAAGGTGACACGACCTCTTGGTAATCCATTAGAAAACAATTAAAGCCCATGGCTCAAACTCACAAAAAGTGTATGCAGAATCGTGGCAGCACTGGTGCTGTAGCACAGATCCTGGGGTCACGGTGCCAAAATGAGGCTGAAATGACCAGTGGGGTTGAGCAACATGGGAACCTGTGGGTGACCAGAGCCAACCAGACTGTGTCAGACTGAGGAAGTGCCTGTGTGGTGCATTCCCTTAGAAACCTTCACCAGAGGAAATTAGTGGAAGTTGCTTCCTCTGAGCCAAATGGATAACAGACTGCTAACACTCTCCTTGGGGACTGCCCTCTTCTGTGGAGTCCAGCTTCACAATTACGGGTCACACAGTAACCACAGAAGTAAGGGGGAGATGAGTGGGCAAGACAACATCCTCCTCCAGCCTTTTGCACTTATTTTGTTAAGCCATTCCTTGAAATAACACTTAACAACGAGCAGGGAAGGGCAGGGACCCATGCTCCAACTCTCGTCAATTAGCAAAGGTGAAAAACACCCACTGTGTTTCTAAAAAATGCATTTCCTAGCTGAGCATCTCCCCCCCACCTGCTCTACTTAATACAAGCTCACGGTTGATCTATTTCCGAGCCCCTCTGTGCTGCACACAGGATTGAAATATATCTACGTCAGCCTGTGACACACAAGGAATGTTAGTCATATCAATTAATCCCAAAGCAATTCCATTAACAGTGGGGTTGCACCCTGAAGTTGTGGCAACACAGGCACTAAGGTGGTCATTGAATTTCAGACCACAGGAAATTAGTTTCCTTTTTATCTGATTCCCTGCTATGTGATGGCTTCCTCCCTCCCCACACGTATGCATGCCATGACATGTGCTTGCTGTCCAGGCTTTGGCATAGAATAGACAAATTATGTTTTCACCCTTTTTTGCCACAGAAACCCTTCAAATCTGAGTTGCTTTGTGGGCAATGACAGCAAATCTCTCTCAGCACTGTGGGAAGGATGCAGGAATGATTATTTCCTCTCCTTAGTCATAATGGGTTATTTTAGGATCAGCTGTTGGCCACTGATACAAAGCCCAGTGCACAGGATTTTTCCAAGGGACCTATGAGGGAATGAAGGGAAAGAAACATTTGTTCTCTTCCCACCCCTGGCAACGTCAAAGGTGGTTCTCAGGGCTAATGTCAACCTCTGTACTCCTGTGTGAAGCAGTGAGGTGCATTCCATTACACATCTACTCAGGCCTGCATGCACTCCTCTTCCCCTGCATACCTGGTGACTCCTTCCCATTCACCCTGTTTTCTCTGGCCAGTAATGACCAGGTAAGAGGAGGAGACAGACAGTCTTCCTTCCTATAGCTGCTTGGGCACTGTCTCATCATCTCATGCTACTTTTGAAGTCACCTGAAGCTTTAGTGGGGGTTTAGTGAAAATGAGAGTGGATGGCAGCATGGCTTCCAAGAGACTACAAGCTCCATTTTTCAGTCCTTGAAGAAGTCATGTTATTCTGTAGGAAGGATGGTGATATGCTCTCCATCTTGAGTATTTTAGCCCATGACATTTAAATTGCTTTTTCCTATCCCATCCCACTCCTGAGAGGTATGTGGCAGCTACAGAGGTTCCTGCAGTCCTTCTTTCCCTCCATAGTGACCTTTAAGTGTGATTTCCCTTCTTCAGCCTCTAAAAATGACTGCCAGTTCCCCTCTCCCTCCCCCTTGTATTTTTAATTGGTCTTCTGTATCATACTCATTTGTAAGCAGGCATCTTCACCCTTCATTTGTATGGCTATTTTCCTGTGTAATATTAGTCACAGAGACAAGATATTTCACATCCAGACAGATATTTCACTGGTCTGTGGATGATCAGCATTCACTATTCATATTCTGGTTTTCTTTTTCTCAAGAAGCCTTTCCTTGTCTGGCCTGAAATCCATTGAAATAACCAAATCTCTAAGCCCCTGCAGGTCCTTGTCTATCAGAGCCTCAGCAGGGCAGCAAGCATTTCATTTTCTGCCTCCCACTGAGCATAATTTCTCCTCTGAAATAAAGTTCAGCGTGGGGTTGAGGTTCTTTTTTTTCCCTCAGAAAAATCTTTGGTATGTTTTTCGTGACATCTCTTCCCCCGACTACATTTATCATTATCATTAGAGAGAGCACTGAGACATGTTTTGATGGCACTTGAAACCAGTGGGAGAGGAAAAATAACATCTCTGGTGCAAAATTCAAGTCTGTTTACTTCATAATCAAACTCAAGGTGGTGTGTTAAGAAATGCTTAACTGGAAACCATTGAATTTGTGGAAATTTTCACAGCTCCTCTCATATGTCTGCAAACACTCTGGATTGTCTCCCTCTCCAAGCAATGTCCCTCCCAACATGGCTCACAGGTCCCAGTATGTAAGACCGGTTTTATTTACTCCACCTGGGAAGAAAGTTGTGATCTGTGGCTCTGAACTTAAGTACAGCAGATCTTTGAGCCTTTGCTTCCGTATGAACATGGGGCTAACTCCTCAGCTGGTAAAAGGCCATCCCTTGCTGCATGCAGATGGGCAGCTATGCAGATTTTGATGCCAGCTGTGAGTCTAGCTCAGTTCTAGGGCTGTTCATTAAGGTTTAGTGCTCATAAAATAGGCAAAGATTACAAGTCAGAACAGTTTAGAACATGAAAACTTCCTTCAAGGAACGTTCTCTCATGACCTCCACTTGCCTTTGTTTTTCTCCTCTTCCCGTTTGTTTCTCCTTAAATAAAGGGAAATGTTACAATTTTTCTTCTTGTTTTTCTGGAGAGGAAACTGGCTTTCTTACCTGTCTAACCGTAACTGGCAGGCTGTTCGCAATATGTCAACTATGCCCTCGTTCTTCAGCTGTTTACAGCACACACTAGTTGCAATAAAGCAGCCAGTCCTCCCGATGCCTGCACTGAGGAAGGGAAAAGCAAAGAGAGGTGGTGGAGACGTCAGAATGACTCTGGAACTTCCTTGTTAAACAAGTGCCATTAAACCAGCACAAACCTTGTTATCCTTTTTGTCCCTCCAACCTGCCATTTGCCAGGTGAGTGCTTCCAGATAGAAAGCCCTAACTAGGAAAAGACACTAACTTCAGTGGGATAACACAATTAAGTGTGAGCCACTCATAGCAAAAGGGTGAACATTGCACATACAGTGCTAAAAATGGACTTATTAGATACCACTTGACCCAATATGTTGTTGAACCTGCCAGTGAACCATTGAAAAAAAGCAGTTAAACTGTATTTTTTAGTTAGACTTGGTTTGATGGCAACCCTTCCTTTGAAGGCAAACTTTGCTTGATATTCTTAATTCTAACAGCTTCTTCAAAAGTTATTTTCATTCACAGGTGCATCAAAAAACCTAACCCTTGGTTAGGTTTAACCTTTTTAACCCTTGGTTAAATTATTAGAGTTAGCAGCAGTATAGTAAGTGTGATGTCATTTGCTGATCAGATCTACAATGTAGTAATCATCTGAATTAGAGCAGGATTACAAGAAATTCACTAATAAAGAAATGTGTTTTCTTTCCTGAAATCCTTTGCATCTGATTCAGTCCTTGGATAATGACCAGAACTGAATTTATTCTCAAAGCCACAGTGCTATAGAAGCTGTGAATTCTTCTTATCACCTAACAAACCAGCAGCAAATGCTGGAAGCTCTTCTTATGCGTGAAATAATTAAGTGAGCACACTCAGGAATAATTACTTGACACAACCACAAGAAATCGTGCTTTCATTTACACTGTGAGAAAGTCAATGCAAAACCACTGGCAACTGGTTCACTGCTGCTCACAAAGTCCTTCACCTTCTAGTTGCCCATAACCAAACAGGCCACAGCACAGAGCTCTTGACACTGTTTACTGTCCATAGATCCCAGAGTGTTTTGCAAAGGGAGGGAACAACACGCATTTTTAGATAAAGCAAGCACCACTGAGACAGCATTTGTCCCAGGGAAAGTTGCAGGTCTCTCAGAGGCTGAGACAAGGTCGTAATTCCTCCAAGACTGCACAAGAGTGGCACATCATCCACATATACTATTTTTTTAATATAATCCTCTCACCGTGTCTCTTAGCAGATTTTTTCAATTAAAAGTGCCCCATTTCTCCCAAGATTATTACTTTGTCCTGAGGATGAACCTTACTAGAGGACAAAACAAATATGCATGGTGACAGCAGCTCCACCTGTAGCCAATACCATAATGCTTCAGGGAGCTCTTAGAGAGTCGAAGATTTCCAAGGGCAAAGGGGACCTTCTTAAAAAACATTTCTTATTTTTATCTGAACTCTCCCCAATTTCTTAACATCTGTTTAAAAACATAGGCAGAAAAACTGTACATGTGATATCATACAAACTTTTTACTAGTGTTTACTCCATATTAGCTTATAGATGGATCTTAGATGACACCGAACTAACCAATCATTCATTCCAAGAGGCTCTTTAAAAACATTCTCACTCTATAATACCCACTTACTATGGATTTTGGAGAGCAAACATCTGCGGCTTCCTAGAAAATATTATGCAAAATGAAGTAAAATTCCTTACAAAAATCTATTTGGCAAAATGTATCTTGTTGAAATTATGGAAGATTACCCTGGCAAGATAACTGCATCTCTTATCAGTCTTTCTGCTATTTACCTGGAATAACTGCTTTGACAACTGACTTGTAGTTTTCAAGTAATCATATTTAACCTTTCTAAGCACTGGCAAAACAGGACTTGCTTTCAGACCTCTGGAACTTCTCCAATTTTCCAAGAACTGTAATTCAGCTCTACTAAACTTTAATGATTTAGAGTCTGCGAATCAACTTTTTTAAACACCCTTGGATGAAAATCATTCAGCATATCTGATTTAATAATGGTCAGTAGTCGTTGCTTAACACACTTCCTAGTTAGCAGTGCAAAAGAACACACTTCATCACATCTACAAGTGCTAAGTACATCATCCTACTTCCTTCTGAAGACAGAAGTATCTATCTTCATCTATTTTTATTCTGCTCTGATTAATAATTACAATTTTCTCACCAAACTTCAAACCACTGTAAGGATTTTGTTCCTTCCATACAAGAACTTTTCATCTTTCCCAAGGCTTTTTACTGATGCTTCAGTTTTACTATCAATTGCATAAATTTTCTGACTGTTGGTTAGTACTTGCTGCAATCAGCTTTGTCACTGTTTCATTTATGTGCTATACTTAAATTATTGTCTTTGGCCTAATAATGATTTATTTTTTTTAAAAAAAGCAAATGAGAAATCTATAAAACATGGGGGCTTGAGGCTTAAAGTTTAATATTCTTATTTTTCTGCTTGCAAGTGTCTTCCTACTCAATTTCATCAAAAGCTTGTTAATGTTTGCTAACTGGACCCTTTAAAGATAATTAAAGGCATATATTACTGGTAAGGCAAATGAAATGAAAGCACACAAGTAACTGAGCCTCAACCAGCTTTTGTGTTCATCTCAATCTGTATCTGAATGCAACACTGGGTACCAGACAACTATTGTCATTAAATATTTGAAGTTCCAAGCACATTTCAGAAGCAGTTGGACAAGATCACCCGTGTCTGACTGATGGCCTACATGACAGTATCTATACTATGGCATGCAAAGAAGCCCTTAGAATTCAGGTACAACATTTATTTACCTGCAGTGAACAATCACTGGGGCATTCTTCTCCTCTGCACTCTGCATGGCCTCTTCCACTTCCAGCACTAGCTGTAACAGAGGAGGGGCTTGATCTGGTGTCTTCTGGTCTGGCCAAGACGTGTACCAGTAATGTTTCAGGTTTCTGACTTCTTCTCCTTTCTGCAACCCAGTTAAGATAAACACCACAAAGTTTTAAAAGAACTTCTCACGGTAAATTGATACTGAAACGTGGCCTTCCCTTTAGGAGTGAGATGACTGAATCTGCTGGAAAGACAATATAGCTGGACACACACACAATCCAGGAGACTGCTGCAGAGCACTGATGATATTTTTTGACACAGGTGGTGGAAGAGTCAAAGAGAAAAGGTGTGCTGCTGGACCTTGTATTAACAAAGAGGGACTGGTTGGGCACATGAAGGTTGGGGGCAGCCTTGGCTGCAGCGATCAAGATATGGCGGAATTCAGGATCCTGCTTGGAATAAGCAAGGGCAGTAAGTAGGATTACAAGCCTGAATTTTAGGAGAGCTAACTTTGGTTTCTTCAAGAAATTAACTGAATTAGGGTTAGGGTTAGGCCCTAGAAGATGGGGAGGGTCCAAGACAGCTGTTCCAAGCATCACTTCCTCAAAGCTCAAGATTGGTGCATCCTTCTGGGTAAGAAATCAAGCAAAAGGGGTGTCACCTCAGTCTTCAAAAAGGGCAAAGATGACCCAGGGAGCCTGCAGGGGTAATCATGCTCGACCAATCTGACAGCTTTCTGTGATGGTGCAGCTGTCTGGGTAGATGAGGGGACAGCAGTGGACACGTGAGGGGACAGTGACTTTTGACACTGTCTCTCATAACACTGTCATAGGTAAGCTCACGAAGCATGGGTTAGAAGAGCTGACACTGAGGTGATTGAGAACTGACTGAACAGAAGAGCTCAGAGGGTTGTGAAAAATGCTGAAGAGTCAGCTGGAGGCCTGTAGCTAGCAGTGTTCCCCAGAGGTCAGTACTGGGTCTAGTACTGTTCAATTTACTCACCAATGACCTGGATGAAGGGACAGAGTGTACCCTCAGCACGTTTGCTGATGACACAAAACCGAGAGGAGTGGCTGATACACCAGAAGGTTGTGCTGCCATTCTGTGATACCTGGACAGGCTGGAGGGTTGGGCAGAGATGAACTTGATGAAGTTCAACACAGGCAAGTACAGGATCCTTCACCTGAGGAGGAATAACCCCAGGCACCAGCACAGGCTGGGAAGCAGCTCTGTGGAGAAGGACCTGGGGGTCCTGGGGGACAACAATCTGTCCATGAGCCAGCAGTGTGCCCTTGGGGCCAAGAAGGCCAAGGGTATCCTGAGATGGACTAGGAAGAGCATTGACAGCAAGATGTGGGGGTTGACCCTGGCCCTCCATTCAGCCCCAGTGAAGCCT